CCCGTCGGTTTGGCAAATCTACAAACCTTTCAATGCTTTATACCTTTCTCAAACCGGTGTCGGAAAAAGAGAAAGAAGATAGGCTGGAACTGTTTAAAGGCCTCAAAGTCGCACAATTTGATTGGTTTATGAAGTTGCACTTAGGCAATTGGCCTGTCATTTACGTTAGTTTTAAGGTAAGCAAGCAATGGATGCCACTCTTCCTTTTACTAGATGACTAACGAACCTATTTTTACTAGGATCTTAATTATAAGTCTTGGGAATCAATGCTGTGTTCTATCAAGGAAAAAATATCAAATCTATATAATGAACATCGTTATATTATTGATAATAAAAAGATTCATATAGAAGATGAATTTCTATTTAAAAGCATTCTTAATGGAACAATTGAGGAGTCTTATTTGATAAACACTATCTCCCGTCTATCACGCTACCTTCACGAATACTTCTGCAAAAGAATCATTATTCTAATTGACGAATATGACTGGCCGATGGAATACGCAGGAAGTTTTTACAACGAAGCTGATATTTTTTTTAAATGCATGTACTCTAGCATTGCGAAGGTAAACTGTTCTTAATTGTTACTTAGTGTATATAGTTTGAGTTGTTAGCTAATCTATAAATTTTCGGTGTAGGATAATGAATATGTACACAAGGTCCTGTTCGTTGGACAGCTCCCTCTAGGCCAAGCAAGTTTCCTTTCTGGACTTAACAATGTTGGGCATTACCCAATGCATGTCTTACCTGGTACACATGGGCGTGCCCATTTCTCAGACATGTTTGGTTTCACGGAGAAAGAAGTTGAGTTCTTGCTAAGTAAAAGTGATCGTAAAAGTGATCGGAAATCTGAACTCGATAATTTGCGCACTCATTACAATGGATATCGAACTAGTACCAATGAGTGTATCTACAACCCTCACTCAACTATATCATCCTTGCAAAAGGGTATTGTCGGGGATTATTGGATAAATAGTGGTTCAGCATTTACGATTAAAGAATGTCTAAAAAAATGTAGCCAAGATATTGAAGATCAGCTTCAAAGTCCTTACTATGCATTTTATTCATTACAAGATGATGATTCGTTACAAAACCAGGTTAAAGTGAAACTCATACCACATCTCCGATATGACGTTCTCGTTAATGAGCCAGACATAAACGCGATCTACACATTACTGTGTTATAGTGGCTACTTGACCGTAAAATTCGATGATGAATTCGAAGCCAAACTTGTTATACCAAACAAGGAAGTTGCTGAACAATGGAAAGAGTGGATTATCGATTTCTTAGGTGTAGATCGGCTAAAGGTGAATGAAATATTCAATTCGTTATTCAATAAAGATATCAAGACGTTTTGCGAACAATTTCCCGCCCTTTATATTGAAACGGTTTCCTATCATGATATTGGTGATTCTAAAAGAGCTAGGTCATATGAGAGTCATTACCATAATTTTATCCTTGGAGCACTTTCAATATATCATGGTGATGATTACCAGGTTTTGTCCAATCGTGAAAGTGGGAATGGTCGCTTCGATATCCGCATTGACCCGGTTAACCAAAAATCCGATACTTGTATCATTTTTGAGTTTAAACTTGCTGAATCGGAAGACCGTGATAAAATGAAAACTAGCGCTAAGAATGGGCTAGAACAAATTGCTGATAGGAACTATCGGTCAAATACTGCAAACCATATCGAGACGATAGTTGAGGTTGCCATTGCCTTCTGTAAAAAAAAGCAGCTTCGTCTCTGCTCAACTTTTACGACGTCTAAAAGGTGGAAAAAAAGGTAAACTTTCAACAAATGCTTGGGAAATTTATTCATCAGAAGAATCGTGTTAGAAGGAAGAACTTTATCAACAATTACATATTTGTTATTAATATTTTGAAACATTTATTGTGACGCATGTTATTATACACTCTTGCTGTTAATTCTTTTCCCTGGATTTTTAACATTTATAAATAATAAAGTTATGATTGTATAATTACGATTAGCTTAATAGACATAGCCTGTAAGCATTGTATTGTAACTATCGATGTAAACCAAACCTGGTAGTTTGGGATTTAGTGGTTTCCCAAAGGTTTTATGATCTAAATTTTAATAGCATAATACGTTTCTTTATTATTCAATTTAGTTTAGATTATAAAATTACCATCTATGCTATATAATAATAACACTTTAAATCTATAAAATCTTAGATAAAATTCATTAACACTAATCTTAGTATCGAATATAACTACCACACTATTAGAACGTAACTAATCTTAGTATAAACCTTCACACTATTAGAACATAATGAAATACATTACCACATATACCACACTATTAGAACGTAATATAACACATATACTGTACTATACTATTTCAAAAATTGCAAATAAACAATATAAACGAAATAACATAGCACTAAAGATGAAGTCCAAATATAGAACGTAACTATCCCACATATACTCCACTATTAGAACGTAGCCATAACGCATTGGGGTGTACAACATCGGTCTAATTACAAACATAGTGCAGGTGATATAGTGACGATCACTAATCGAGATTTTTTATAGTAAAAAACTTTTGGGGTAGAAATTCACTATTAAAGATTATAAAAAACAACTTTTAATTCCTCACGGAAAATCTAATATTTTTTAATTCCAAAAAAAAAATTTAGGTAATTAAAGATGTCTTTTCAACATAACAACGTTAGAATTTTTGTTTTACTAACGAAATAATTTTTTTTCATGGGTACAAACTTCATAAATTTAGTCACATAATAGCAGATAGATCTTATGTTGTACAAAGAGATAACGATTTAGATCGATACTTCATTTATTCTTTAACGTTAATATCTAACAAATTTAAATTCTAGTAAGCGAATTTTCTTTATAGAAGGAACTTTTACCTGAAGACAATATTCGAAATTACATATCTTTTAGAAACTAATAAATTTATCATATATGTAGTAAACCATGATTATTTAGATCGCGGCAAAACAGTAATGATGAATATGTGTATTACCGTCAATAATAATTTTAGAAATAATTATATTAAATGTAATATACAAACTTGAAAGTTAAGTGTTTGCTATAAAAACTATTATTTTAATATCATTTTGAAAAATTTTTAAAAATTAATATTTTACAATTATATTTGTAGGATTGTATATCTAATTTGAAGAAAAACTAATTTTTATGTCTCCAAGTAAGAAAGTCACTAAGAATTTTATATACTTTTTCCTTTTTAGAAACCTCATTACTTTCTAATTGTTTATTAACTTTCAAATTTCTAGCATTTTGCCGAGCATTTCGCAACATATCTTGTGAAATTTCTTGAATACCACCATCCAAACCAGAGAGTTGAATGCATGATTCTTGTAGTTTAATATTCATATTTGGGTGGACTTTTATATCGTACTGATTAAACAGTCCCTCTAATTGCTGTTGGTGTACTATGATACTCCAAATACGAAATTTAATGAATTCATAAATGAGAGGGAATTTAGCTAGCTCTGCTGTATCAGAATTCGCAAATGCTTCGAATTCTTCAAAAAAATCACATTGTGTTAATGCTTCTAGTAATCCAAAGGTGGTTGGATGTTCTTTAAACAAATCTTCTTGTAAAAGGTTAGTATAAGAAATTTCTTTGGTAGTAGGGATTTTTGAGGAGGTTTTATTAAAAAAAACTTTTAAAAAAGCATAAGCAAATTCTGGTCCATTTTCATCATCTAATCAACAAACGCATAAAGGCAAGTGAGTCCAGCATTCTATTCATTTAATGAAACCATTTAACACATTTTCAATTCTAATGCATAATGATTCATAAAAATTGTTCAATTCTGTTATATCAAACTCACACTTAGCATCAGCTAATTCGTCTTCGAATAATATATAAATATTATTTAGATAATCTTGAAGCTCTTGAATCTATAAAATTACCTTATCTAGCATTTCATAAGCACGATTTCCTGGTGGTAAAACAGTATTCATATTATTTTGTTGACAAATATGTGGAATTGGGTCATGATCAGTTATAAAATTATAGATGAGATCATAAAACCTTTCACCAAACTTAACTAAACATTGAATTTGGAGGTTAAGCCGTTTATCTGTTAGTCACTTAAGAAATATTTGCCACTTGTATAAGTATGATTTTGGAACGTTTTTGGCACTTTCAAGTTGCTTAATAAAGAACCATGCAAAGGAAATATGAACTTTACATCTAGTAAGGTATTATTTGGCAGTTTTAAGTTCATATAACTACCGTTAACGAATAGGTTGTTGATACTTAGTGATTTCAAAATCAAACAATATTTTATAAAGCTTTTGAAATGTTTCAGATTTCAGATTTAGAGGACTGTCCTTATCCGAACAATCATAACCATCATGAAGATAAAAAGCAAGATTAAGTAAATTATATAGGTGCTTTTTAATAATAATCTTTTAACAGTATCTAACTTCCCAAATGCCTTATTTTCAAAATTAGTTAAAGCAATATGAGTTGCGTACAATCCACAAGGAATCCGAAACGATTTAGATGCTGCTAATAAGTTGAATTTGGCAACTGCACCATTAAATTCTGAAAACATATAGGCTGTGTTATCAGTTAGCCAGAAATGACACTTCTGAGGATCGATACATTTTTGTTGACACATTTCGAATACTGTAGTCAAAACTGTTTCAGCATTACAGCGTATTAGGCCTGTTAATTTTACTACAGTTATTGCTGGCCTTTCTTTAATATTATTTCAATATGAAAAACAGATAATTAGTACTTTCATTTCTCCTCTAATGCTTTCATCAACCATTATGCTGTAGCCAAAAAATCTAGAACAAGTATTTACAGGACAATTTTAATCACAAGATAACGCCACTATTTCATTATTCCATCGTGCTAAAGTGCTTGGTGTTACCCATCATTGTGGTGTTTCTCTAGTTAAAAATTAATAGAAGGCTTTAGTGCATTCTACTGTTGTACATATAGAGGTTTGTCCTATATTACTAATGTCAGTGGCTAATTTTACAAACTTTGCACTATATTCTTTCTTATTAATCTTAAATAATTTATTAGCTGCATGTTGAAATTGGGCAGGTTGAATTTGGTATGCTCTATGAATGGCTGCTCGAATTTTTGAAATTTGCTTTTGTTTGTTTTGCTTTACTCTTGTCAATCGCACAGAAAGTGAATGAATTTTGGTACCTGCGATAGTTTTATATTTTGTTAAACAGTTATTTTCTTGTTGTAAATTTTTATTTTGTAATTTTAATGTATAAATATTATTATCTAATTTATAAAAATTATCATTAATAAAATCTTGTGCTTTTTTTTGCAAATAGGTGGAAATTAGCTCTCTTTAATGATCTCCCCGAATATAAACTATCATTTGAAAAAAAGAAAAGGCATCAAATATTTGTTGATCAGGTAAATTACAAATATATATTAACAGATCATTCTGTTTTCTTTGAATGCGACTGAAAATTTCTCGAAATTCTAAAATTTTTTTTATTATATAATTAAAATCATTATTATCTAACTATACAAATATCAAAATTAGTTTATCAAGCAATGCTTTTCGCTGTTCACAATTTCACAAGCCTCTGCTGTTTTTAAGTTATTTATTTCATGAGTTTAGTCGACCCATTAGAGTATATACTAAAATAATGCTTATTATTTTGTGTCCTATACTTTTAATAGAAACCTGATATTCAAGAGACGATTATACCTGGAGTTTGGATTTTAGAAAAATTTTTATGCTTTGAATTAGGTTTTTACCGATTTATTATAATAGATATGGGTAAGTTTTTAAAAATTTTAATCTTGTTGGAAAGTATAATTATGCGTGTCTAATTCTCAAAAATACAGAAATATATATATAGTTCATTCAAGAGGAGCATGGTAGATTTTGAACGATTGTCAGTGTGAGGTTTTAGATTACAAATTATTAGAAAATGAGGCTTTTTACTTAAGCTTAGTATATTTATTATATTTATTATATTTATTATCACTAGCCAAGTCAAATAATTTTTTACTACAGTAAATTTATCTTTTTATATATTTTGTAGAATTATAAATATCGGATCAAGAAATACAATCACAAGATCAATAATTATAAGCAAACAAGTTTAAAGAAAATTATTGTTCATTTGACTTTGTCTTAGCGCACTTTTTATACAAGTTTTAGATATAGTACAACTACTTAATTACAATGCATTTTATATTTAATAAAATTGCTTATCTATTTACGCGTAATTTTATTATTAAAAGAAAGCATCTTTTTATATTTAACAATGGAATTTTTATATTTAAGAATTACTATCGTGAATCTAAATTCAAACGCATTATACCAAAAAAAATGTAATTTGGTCAAATCTTGGTAAATCTTAGAATTTAAGAATATTCCTCGAATTTTGATAGCACATCGATTTGTATTATAAAATGATTGATATAAGCTTAAGTAAAGAATTCAATTAAATAAATAATTACAATTTAACATTTTTGGAAAGAACAAAAACAATTATTAAATATTATATATTGCTTCTTGTACTTGCATATATGGTAATTTAAAAATCCTTTATTAAGTAATTTCAGATTTAAAAATTTTTTATATACATTATAATATTTTCTATATTTATATCTCAATGCATAGATAATTGTATAAATTTAGAAAATATATAATAATATCTTAATAAACAGAAAGAAATCTTGTCGCAATGCATTAATAGCTCTCTAAATAGTTAAATCTTAAACAACAATTCTCAATGTAATACAAAAAATTCAACTGCTTTATTAAATAAATCATAGGATATTTCATATTTTTTAAAATTGATTATGATAAACCGCTAAGAATATAATA